GGGGGGATTCCCTGGGTAGGGTGGCAGGGTAAGGTCATGGGCGGGTTAACTCGACATACTTACACCACGGACATCATATACATATGCGACATACATACATACACCACGGACATCATATACATATAGTAAAGACATACATAACACATACACAATCGACATAAACTACAGACATACATAACATATATATACCACAGACATACATAACAGAAAACAACAGATACACAATAGACATACGCAACAGAAATACACATGAGACTTACATAAACAAAGCTACATCACATAAAACATAAAGACATTCACGACAGATCATACACAACAAACAGAAACAGCAGACATACAAACCAAGGTAATCACAGAAAACATAAGAGAGTATCGCAAATATTATATTTCTATTTTAAAAGTGTTGCTATAAGCATATACCTTATTTCATTATTGAAGAATCACAATATTAATTTTTTTTAGTAAAGTATTAATATACCAGAACAAATATTTCCTCTAAAATAGAGTGTCTGTATTTACATTTTCGTTAAGAAAGAGCGTGTATCTTAAAACTTTAATTAAACCTGTGTGGCTATCTCTATATTTGTTTTAAGAAAGTGTGACTACCCTACTACTTTCGATAAGAACGTGTGGCACATTATACTTTCATTAAGAAAGCCTCCCCCCCCCCACATATTTTGTATGCTGCGACACACCAGAAGGATATTGGAACTGGGTAAAGATGTCGGCCGCCAGACAAAAGAAACAAGCACCTAGACCCTCCAGAGTCTCTGGTCATTTGTCACGCTCAAGGCTCTTCAGTCCACTAATAGAATTCCAGCTCGTATTTAGGACCAAACCTTTACAGCCAGTCTCCGTAGGTTGGGGGAGGGGGGAATGGTCCTCGATGATGGCCAGAAATTGGGGAATTATTCCCCTAAATTGGGGAATTATTCCCCTAAATTGTCGCTAATACGACGGCTGGGTCGTCAAAACAATGGCGACCTAATACGATTGTGGTGGCCGCATTTGTAAGCCCTCATCAATTACTGTTTATCACTGGCGAGTGGGTTCAGGAGCTCGTTAATATAGTAAACTGGTGGAGGTGTCAGCTTAAAGGACAGGAAGTTCTCGAGGGGGGGGGGGTGGTTGGTAGGGGCCCGGGGGTCAGGTAGTTCTTTATTTAAGACAAATCTGCGAGACCAGCCATTGTTTAAGTGGAAGACATCGGGTCAAGTTGGTAGATCAATCAGCCCAATACATTAGCAAACACTCAATACATCGGAACACTCAATACACAGGAGCACTCAATACACAGGAACACTCAGCTAGTCCAGTAGAATGCAATCTGTGAGTCTGGTATACAAAACATGAGCTTGTGTATGTCAACTATTTTTTTAAAACTCTGTATATGTTTGATGGCATGAGGGCAGTTAAAAGTAAACCTCCCCTTCTGAACCTGAAGTTCTATGGGGCAAGTGAAGTAGAGTTCACCTGTTTCTGTGACCTCGGCATATGAAGGGATATTGTGGTTAGCACTTTGCCCAGCCGCGTTTACTTTCCTTAACGTGTGTTAGGTACCCATCAGAGCTGGGTGGACTCAGGGACGTTTTACTGACTTGAGACGTTCGGGTTAGCAGTCTAGCTCTCTACTACTACACCACTCCGTCCCCATGAGGACATTGACCCAGGACAGAATAATAAAATGTGATAATTCTAGCTTGAAAGTACGAAATACAAATTTTAATCTGGTATCAATAGGAAGTTTAATTAAGCAAGAAAATATGTTGGCGTTGTTTATTAAAAAAAATATGTAGGCCTATATCAATTTTGAAACATACATTCGTGGGTAACAGAACACAATGAGGCTAGGATATTCATTAACTCATATTTTGTTCAGTTTTTACAATCCGCTCCTTTGTGTTCTACATTTTTAGACTCTGTGGATTTGGTGGGATATAAAATGTCTGGGCGTTAGCTTAGGTGCAGAGGACGGAGGAACTAAATTAAATTATTTATGAAAGAGTTTGTTGGTCCGACTGATATATACATTTATAACGAGAACTGCGGGTGATAGAGTCGTCTTCGACCTAGTTTAGTCACGTGATCAGACTGTCAATATCGACCTAATTTAGTCATTTCAATATCGACCTAATTTAGTCATATGATCAGACTGTCTATATCGACCTAATTTAGTCATTTCAATATCGACCTAATTTAGTCATGTGGTCAGACTGTCAATATCGACCTAATTTAGTCATTTCAATATCGACCTAATTTAGTCATGTGATCAGACTGTCAATATCGACCTAATTTAGTCACGTGATCAGACTGTCAATATCGACCTAATTTAGTCATGTCAATATCGACCTAATTTAGTCACGTGATTATAAGCAGCTAACCTGCTGTCAATATCGATTAAACTTTACGAGCAGACGTGTAATCAGCCGACATTAACAGGTGAAGATATTAGATCAGTTTTTGTAACAACAAAAACGGCTTAGCACCTATTCAAGTGCGTCGAAATGTTGGATCGGTTGTTCACTGCGCATTGGATTTAACACGGTCAGCAACACACGGTGCCCCGGCAAATTTAATTAAATAACACTCACTTTTATCTTGGGTATTAATTTTTGTAATAATTCGATGGGTTGGGCATGCGCGATATTGCAGGACCGCGGCATAATGAAGATAAAATGAACACGTCATAATTCCCCCCTCAATCCTAGTTCAACACCTGCTAAATGCGAACACAGAGTTTTTTCCCTTCATAAACTCGCTCCGCCTATCGGGTCGATTGTCTCCCTTTGATTGTCTCAAGTTTATTAAACAGGCCAACAAAGGCGAGACAAGGTGTCGGATCTTGATTTATCTAGAAATAATTAATTGTCCTCCGGTGTTATTAGCACTCATCGGAAATTATATTAAAATAGCTCCGGTTTCATTTATCATTCTGAAAAGAAAAATGTGATCATAACATTTGCAAGGAGGGTTCCTGCGTGGTCTGTGTGTTTTTTTTGTCTTTATTTCTTTAATATAAAATCCTATCTTTTGTTGTTCCTACATTCGGAACTTCCCGTGATTAATTACGACGACTTGTGGGAATCCCCGAATTCGCGTTAAGCGCGCACAACTGCATCACCTCGGCCACCGGCGCGGGATGATTTGTCGCTATCAAATTTTCCGGGTTGAATACGGCAGAAATTAGAACAATTATCACGATGCTCATTAGTATTAAATATAGTGAATGTTATTCCGTTGTTGGATTGTGAATATGGGAGGGGGCGCAGTTTTATCCCCCACCCCCCGGGCTTGGTGAATAGAAACAGAAGGTTAATGTGTCAGGCGCGTATTTTGTCTAGCCCCTTCTGATCCTGGCCAATCTCGACTGTGGGGAGCGGAGCGGCTGTTTTTATCGTAAATGTCCACAGCTGAATGGCTCCTCGAATCACACAACTTGTCCTGGCAACCCCGCTTTCACCGAAAACCTTTTGTGCTCTGCCGGCAAGACTGCTCTACCCGTGGCAATAGCCGGCTTTTGCCGTGAAAATAGCCGGCTCGGGACTACATTCCCAACATCCGCCTGATATATCACTTTTTTTTTGTTTTGTATCTTTTTATTCTAATGTGTTTTAGTAGCGTTGTCGATGTTTTAGGAAAAGTTGAAGAAGTTTTAATGGCGAAGCTCTGAGTGTTAGGGTCACGTGGCTTGGTGAGAGATGTTCACAGAGAAGTTGTCAGAGATCCTAATGTCCGGCTTTGATTAGATAATGGCAGTCCAAATGTTCGGTCATTTCAACAGGAGGTACTAAGACCGTCCAATTACTCAAGGAATTCAGCAATAACTGGCCGTCCAAATCTCCGATGAATTCAACAGCAAGTGACAAGAATGTGCAACGAATCAAGCATTAAATGGCCGTCCAGTGTCCGGTTAGTCCAACAACCAGCGACTGGCCGTCCAATGTCCGACAAGTCGAGCGACTGGCCGTCCAATGTCCAATGAGTCCAACTACCAACGACTGGCCGTCCAATGTCCGACTAGTCCAACTACCAACGACTGGCCGTCCAATGTCCGACTAGTCCAACTACCAACGACTGGCCGTCCAATGTCCGACTAGTCCAACTACCAACGACTGGCCGTCCAATGTCCGACTAGTCCAACTACCAACGACTGGCCGTCCAATGTCCAATAAGTCCAACAACCAGTGACTGGCCGTCCAATGTCCACAGATAAGTGCTGTTGAAAGTAATGTGTTCACAGTTCTAGCCTCCTAATCGCTTGACCTCCAGGCTCGCAGACCAAACGGTCAGTCTGGCATTAATCCCTGTACCTGAATGGCCCTCCGTTCTTTGGGTACCTGATATTTATTTCCCTCAAGGTACCAAGTCAAACAGCGCAATCGATGTTGGGGCTCACAGAATCTAAAGTTTATTATTTGTAACTATCTTATGGTTTAAAATATATGCTTTGTAACAACAACAAACAAAAAGTTGAAATGTCAAAAACTTTTGTAAATGTAACTTTTGTTATAAAATATCATTTGACAATCCTCGTATCATCGCTATTCATCACACGCAGCTAAAGGCCCAGGGGCGTGTTGAAATACACCTTATGTGGGTGGGGCTGATAACAACTTGTACCAAGAAATATTTGTGATTGTGTCAGGTTCATTGTCTGGATAGTGTGGCCAACGAGTCTATTGGAAGAATTTAGCATCTACATGGCATTTCTATTTGCCGTGTCAGCGAGGGTATGCCAAATTTATCTGCTGTGAGGGTATCAGTATGTTAATTCTATCTGCATTAAAGGCATCCGTATGTCAATTCTATCTGAGGGCATTAGTATATCAATTTTATCTGTTGTGAAGGCATCAGTATGTCAATTCTATCTGAGGGCATCGTCACTTCTATCTGCTGTGAGGGTATCAATATGACAATTCTATCTGCATTGAAGGCATCAGTATGCCTTTCTATTTGCTGTGAGGGCATTAGTCGAACAATCCTGCCTTGTTATCAAGGCACTATCCAGAAACTTCTGCCATGTATCCGGGCTCTGCCCTCAAACATGCTATCAAAGTACCTTTCTGCACTTCTGCCCTGTCTGGGCACCACTTCTGCCTTGTCTGGGCACCACTTGTACCATATGCCAGGGCATCACGCTTCCACTCCACTCCCGTCAACATAGAGGCGCCAGTCTGCCCTGACAGCAAGATAAATGTTTGCCACTAAGTTTAACGGATTAGCTCGGCCTAGCTAAATCCCTCTTGTAATCGGCCTTCGATTAAAGTACAATAAAAAGTAATGAAGAAAACTAACAAGACTTGAAAGGAGCACGGATACTGAACCTATTTATAGCAATGTCATGCTATCAAGTAGTGGGGGAAACCCAATCGGAAAAACCCAATTTTTGCTGTTTTTCAAATTTTAAAGAAGAAAATACTTTGTTGAAGTGCCAAATTAGCGACGAGATGAAATAAAAAATATATTTGATCGATATAGATCTTATCTTTTATAAGTTGGCGGTTTAAAAATTAATAGTTCAACAATTGATTGTAAAACCTTGCAAATAATTTTTTAGACGACTTAGATGTTATTAGGTTTTAAAAAATTGTTTGAGAATTGTTTTAATAGGGGATTAACACTATTTAAAAAGATACTATCCCAAACTACTTGTGGCTAACGACGTACTTTAACTAACATTATTGCTAGAAAATAGTTTACATACCCCTGACCTTAAGCTTTCACCTAACTCACACATTTAATCCTAGAATACGAACCAGAGGCGTCGCGAGGCGGGGGCAGGGTGCGGACCGCACCGGGTGACACCATTTATGGAGGTGACACCAAGACATAAAAAATGCAAGATTTTTAGCATAAATATGTTTTTTTTTTAAAGTTCAAGGAATGGTTAATTAGATTTAAAAAGTATTTTAAATACATACTTTCGATCCCGACAAGGGAGGGGGGGGGGGAGGAGGAGGAGGTGACACCATGACCTAATTATGCAAATTATAGAGAAAAAAATGCTACACCCTGTTGTATTAACAACCGATTATAGATAAACATCATTAGTATTAAATGCAAACAATTTATAGCTTTTACCCGGGTGGGGGGGGGGGGGGTGACACCAAATGCAAAATTTACAGATAAAAGTAATTGGTGGGGGGGGGGGGGGAGATAACACCATGAGGTGCCGCACCGGGTGACACCCGACCTAGCGGCGCCAATGCTACGAATTAATACCCGACCACCACCTTTACTTTTCTTACTAACCTAAAGCCAACACATGGTAAAGTTACAAATTGCAAGCCTGACAAAATGTAATTTTTAAAAATATTTGTTTCGGCCAAGTTTTTCGACAGAACGACAAATAGAAATGCTAGTTGAATTGGTCGATAAAATAGTTCAAAAATGTCTTTTAAAGCTTTAATTTAAAGGACTTACTTATAAGTTTTTAGTTTGAATCTTTTTTATTAATTTTTTAAAAATGTTTTCAAATGAACTTGAATTTTTAGTCAGTATCCCTGTTTTAAAAAAAAGTTTCATTTTGTTTACCACATAGGATACGTGTGGAGTAATTTGTGTGGCCGGTGGAGTAATGTGTATGGCTGGTGGAGTCATTTGTATGGCTGGTGGAGTAATTTGTGTGGCCGGTGGAGTAATTTGTGTGACCGGTGGAGTCATTTGTGTGGCCGGTGGAGTCATTTGTATGGCCGGTGGAGTAACTAGTGTGGCTGGTGGAGTCATTTGTGTGGCCGGTGGAGTTATTTGTATGGCCGGTGGAGTATTTTGTGTGGCCGGTGGAGTCATTTGTGTGGCCGGTGGAGTATTTTGTATGGCCGGTGGAGTCATTTGTGTGGCCGGTGGAGTATTTTGTGTGGCCGATGGAGTCATTTGTGTGGCCGGTGGAGTATTTTGTGTGGCCGGTGGAGTCAGTTGTGTGGCCGGTGGAGTATTTTGTGTGGCCGGTGGAGTCAGTTGTGTGGCCGGTGGAGTATTTTGTGTGGCCGGTGGAGTCAGTTGTGTGGCCGGTGGAGTTATTTGTATGGCCGGTGGAGTATTTTGTGTGGCCGGTGGAGTCATTTGTGTGGCCGGTGGAGTTATTTGTATGGCCGGTGGAGTATTTTGTGTGGCCGGTGGAGTCAGTTGTGTGGCCGGTGCAGTAACTAGTGTGGCTGGTGGAGTCATTTGTGTGGCCGGTGGAGTTATTTGTATGGCCGGTGGAGTATTTTGTGTGGCCGGTGGAGTCAGTTGTGTGGCCAGTGGAGTAACTAGTATGGCCGGTGGAGTTATTTGTGTGGCCGGTGGAGTCATTTGTGTGGCCGGTGGAGTCATTTGTATGGCCGGTGGAGTATTTTGTGTGGCCGGTGGAGTCATTTGTGTGGCCGGTGGAGTAACTAGTGTGGCTGGTGGAGTCATTTGTGTGGCCGGTGGAGTTATTTGTATGGCCGGTGGAGTATTTTGTGTGGCCGGTGGAGGTGGCCGGTGGAGCCATTTGTGTGACCGGTGGAGTTATTTGTGTGGCCGGTGGAGTATTTTGTGTGGCCGGTGGAGTCATTTGTGTGGCCGGTGGAGTAACTAGTGTGGCTGGTGGAGTCATTTGTGTGGCCGGTGGAGTTATTTGTATGGCCGGTGGAGTATTTTGTGTGGCCGGTGGAGGTGGCCGGTGGAGCCATTTGTGTGGCCGGTGGAGTAATTTGTGTGGCCGGTGGAGTCAGTTGTGTGGCCGGTGGAGTTATTTGTATGGCCGGTGGAGTATTTTGTGTGGCCGGTGGAGTCATTTGTGTGGCCGGTGGAGTTATTTGTATGGCCGGTGGAGTCATTTGTGTGGCCGGTGGAGTAACTAGTGTGGCCGGTGGAGTAACTAGTGTGGCCGGTGGAGTCATTTGTGTGGCCGGTGGAGTATTTTGTGTGGCCGGTGGAGTCATTTGTATGGCCGGTGGAGTTATTTGTATGGCCGGTGGAGTTATTTGTATGGCCGGTGGAGTATTTTGTGTGGCCGGTGGAGTCAGTTGTGTGGCCGGTGGAGTTATTTGTATGGCCGGTGGAGTATTTTGTGTGGCCGGTGGAGTCATTTGTGTGGCCGGTGGAGTATTTTGTGTGGCCGGTAGAGTCATTTTGTGTGGCCGGTGGAGTCATTTGTGTGGCCGGTGGAGTCATTGGTGTGGCCGGTGGAGTCATTTGTGTGGCCGGTGGAGTCATTTGTGTGGCCCATGGAGTCATTTGTGTGGCCTGTGGAGTAATTTGTATGGCTGGTGGAGTCATTTGTGTGGCCCATGGAGTCATTTGTGTGGCCTGTGGAGTCATTTGTGTGGCCGGTGGAGTCATTTGTGTGGCCGATGGAGTCATTTGTGTGGCCGGTGGAGTATTTTGTGTGGCCGGTGGAGTCATTTGTGTGGCCGGTGGAGTAACTAGTGTGGCTGGTGGAGTCATTTGTGTGGCCGGTGGAGTTATTTGTATGGCCGGTGGAGTATTTTGTGTGGCCGGTGGAGTCATTTGTGTGGCCGGTGGAGTAACTAGTGTGGCTGGTGGAGTCATTTGTGTGGCCGGTGGAGTTATTTGTATGGCCGGTGGAGTATTTTGTGTGGCCGGTGGAGTAACTAGTATGGCCGGTGGAGTTATTTGTGTGGCCGGTGGAGTAACTAGTATGGCCGGTGGAGTTATTTGTGTGGCCGGTGGAGTCATTTGTGTGGCCGGTGGAGTCATTTGTATGGCCGGTGGAGTATTTTGTGTGGCCGGTGGAGTCATTTGTGTGGCCGGTGGAGTAACTAGTGTGGCTGGTGGAGTCATTTGTGTGGCCGGTGGAGTCATTTGTGTGGCCGGTGGAGTCATTTATGTGACCAGTGGAGTCATTTGTGTGGCCGGTGGAGTAACTAGTGTGGCTGGTGGAGTCATTTGTGTGGCCGGTGGAGTTATTTGTATGGCCGGTGGAGTATTTTGTGTGGCCGGTGGAGTAACTAGTATGGCCGGTGGAGTTATTTGTGTGGCCGGTGGAGTAACTAGTATGGCCGGTGGAGTTATTTGTGTGGCCGGTGGAGTCATTTGTGTGGCCGGTGGAGTAACTAGTGTGGCTGGTGGAGTATTTTGTGTGGCCGGTGGAGTATTTTGTGTGGCCGGTGGAGTTATTTGTATGGCCGGTGGAGTATTTTGTGTGGCCGGTGGAGTCAGTTGTGTGGCCGGTGGAGTTATTTGTGTGGCCGGTGGAGTAACTAGTGTGGCTGGTGGAGTATTTTGTGTGGCTGGTGGAGTCATTTGTATGGCCGGTGGAGTTATTTGTATGGCCGGTGGAGTATTTTGTGTGGCCGGTGGAGTCAGTTGTGTGGCCGGTGGAGTTATTTGTATGGCCGGTGGAGTATTTTGTGTGGCCGATGGAGTCATTTGTGTGGCCGGTGGAGTCATTTGTATGGCCGGTGGAGTCATTTGTGTGGCCGGTGGAGTCACTTGTGTGGCCGGTGGATTTATTTGTGTGGCCGGTGGAGTCATTTGTGTGGCCGGTGGAGTCATTTGTGTGGCCGGTGGAGTCATGTGTATGGCCGGTGGATTTATTTGTATCGCCGGTGGAGTCATTTGTGTGGCCGGTGGAGTCATTTGTGTGGCCGGTGGAGTCATTTATGTGACCAGTGGAGTCATTTGTATGACCGGTGGAGTAACTAGTGTGGCTGGTGGAGTATTTTGTGTGGCCGGTGGAGTATTTTGTGTGGCCGGTGGAGTTATTTGTATGGCCGGTGGAGTATTTTGTGTGGCCGGTGGAGTCAGTTGTGTGGCCGGTGGAGTTATTTGTGTGGCCGGTGGAGTAACTAGTGTGGCTGGTGGAGTATTTTGTGTGGCTGGTGGAGTCATTTGTATGGCCGGTGGAGTTATTTGTATGGCCGGTGGAGTATTTTGTGTGGCCGGTGGAGTCAGTTGTGTGGCCGGTGGAGTTATTTGTATGGCCGGTGGAGTATTTTGTGTGGCCGATGGAGTCATTTGTGTGGCCGGTGGAGTCATTTGTATGGCCGGTGGAGTCATTTGTGTGGCCGGTGGAGTCACTTGTGTGGCCGGTGGATTTATTTGTGTGGCCGGTGGAGTCATTTGTGTGGCCGGTGGAGTCATTTGTGTGGCCGGTGGAGTCATGTGTATGGCCGGTGGATTTATTTGTATCGCCGGTGGAGTCATTTGTGTGGCCGGTGGAGTCATTTGTGTGGCCGGTGGAGTCATTTATGTGACCAGTGGAGTCATTTGTGTGGCCGGTGGAGTCATTTGTATGGCCGCTGGAGTCATTTGTATGGCCGGTGGAGTCATGTGTATGGCCGGTGGATTTATTTGTATCGCCGGTGGAGTCATTTGTGTGGCCGGTGGAGTCATTTGTGTGGCCGGTGGAGTCATTTATGTGACCAGTGGAGTCATTTGTGTGGACTGAACTGACGGATATCATCGCCAGTGGGGGGACGTTTGTAAATCATAAAGTGTTAATAATTTTTTTTTTGTCATGTAAAGGCTGAACGGTGGTTAATATTGCCTATGTAAACATTGTGTGAAATGTGTTATCGTATATGGTGGTGTTGTGTTGTGTGGAATTTATTATCGTATATGTTATTATTGATTATGGTAATTAAACTGTATGAGGTCAACTATAGGTACAAATACAAGATACATATAGTAAGCAAAATAAACATGAAAAAATAATAGTGGATATACATAAACAGAACAAACCACAATTAATCATAACAAAGTACTTAAGAACATAACAAACCACATAAAAACATAACAACCGATACAGGAACAAAATAAACTAAAGAGGAACATAATAAACATAACAAAACACCGCACACTACACACATATGTAACACATTACATATACAAATTAACAGCTTGACATAAACATTACAAACTACGCATAAACATAACACAACTACACAAACATAACTAACTACACATAAACATAACAAAGGCATATAACGCAATTATACTTCAAACTAACAAGAGCAGATACCGTAGTACACATACACCATACAAAAATGCGCATGAACATATCAATAATAGTAATATGGTGAAACGTACAGTGCTATACAAACACAATGAAACAGATACATCGTGACTACACGGGGTGGGGGAGCAAGGGGGGGGGGACAATTCTCTGGTGCAGTTGTCTGCCATCATGGAGCAAAACAATGATGAAATACTTTCCTTGTCTAGACGATCAATTTCCTGTTTAACACCAAGTTGAACCGGAATAAAAAGGCCGGCTCGATCAAGTTGAACCGGAATGCTAGCCGTGCCGTAGCTATTGAGTACATTGTTAGAATTCATTTCCTCGTGTCCGAGTCATTGTCCCCCCCCCCCCCCTCAGCTCGTGACGTAGGTCCATGACAACCAGAGTGATCGTCCCTGATTTAATCTGCCGTGAAGAGGGAAATTTAAAAAGTTGAACCTATGATCAAACTTTTATTTCACTAATCTCACCGCATCAATAATTCTGGCGTCGATTAATTAGAACTTTATATTTTATTCATAAGCAAACGGTCGTTGTATATTTATTTTTAAACAGTATTTGAAGGAGTATTGACTTCTACGTAACGTATAAACTAATTAAATTGTACATAAATTTTGGATAGGTCTGTATAATTGTAGACAAAATTTGTGGTCGATATTATACTTAAGTCTAGCGTCAACTGGGGATAGGAGAGGTTTATAATGTCATCAGTAAGCAAATTAATTAATTTTTACACATTAATCACATCGTAGAACGTATGGAAATGGCTGGGTGATTGGTTTTAAAAGTTTACTTTTAAAACATTCATCAGGACAAGTTAAGTTTAGTTGACAGGTGAGTCTAGTTTGACAGGTTAGTTGACAGGTGAGTCTAGTTTGACAGGTTAGTTGACAGGTGAGTCTAGTTGACAGGTGAGTCTAGTTGACAGTGAGTTGACAGATGAGTCTAGTTGACAGGTTAGTTGACAGATGAGTCTAGTTGACAGGTGAGTCTAGTTGACAGGTGAGTCTAGTTGACATGTGAGTTGACAGGTGAGTCTAGTTGACAGGTGAGTCTAGTTGACAGGTGAGTTGACAGGTGAGTCTAGTTGACAGGTGAGTCTAGTTGACAGGTGAGTCTAGTTGACAGGTGAGTTTAGTTGACAGGTGAGTTTAGTAGACAGGTGAGTCTAGTTGACAGGTGAGTCTAGTTGACACGTTAGTTGACAGGTGAGTCTAGTGACAGGTGAGTCTAGTTGACAGGTGAGTTGACAGGTGAGTCTAGTTGACAGGTGAGTTGACAGGTGAGTCTAGTTGACAGGTGAGTCTAGTTGACAGGTGAGTTGACAGGTGAGTCTAGTTGACAGGTGAGTCTAGTTGACAGGTGAGTCTAGTTGACAGGTGAGTCTAGTTGACAGGTGAGTCTAGTTGACAGGTGAGTTTAGTAGACAGGTGAGTCTAGTTGACAGGTGAGTCAAGTTGACAGGTGAGTCTAGTTGACAGGTGAGTCTAGTTGACAGGTTAATTGACAGGTGAGTCAAGTTGACAGGTGAGTCAAGTTGACAGGTGAGTCTAGTTGACAGGTGAGTCTAGTTGACAGGTGAGTCTAGTATCACAGGTGAGTCTAGTATCACAGGTGAGTCTAGTATCACAGGTGAGTCTAGTTGACAGGTGAGTTGACAGGTGTGTCTAGTTGAAAGGTGAGTTGACAGGTGTGTCTAGTTGAAAGGTGAGTCTAGTATCACAGGTGAGTCTAATATCACAGGTGAGTCTAGTATCACAGGTGTGTCTAGTTGAAAGGTGAGTCTAGTTGACAGAAGAGTCTAGTTGACAGGTGAGTCTAGTTGACAGGTGAGTTGACAGGTGAGTCTAGTTGACAGGTGAGTCTAGTTGACAGGTGAGTCTAGTTGACAGGTGAGTTGACAGGTGAGTCTAGTTGACAGGTGAGTCTAGTTGACAGGTTAGTCTAGTTGACAGGTTAATTGACAGGTTAGTTGACAGGTGAGTCTAGTTGACAGATGAGTCTAGTTGACAGGTGAGTCTAGTTGACAGGTGAGTCTAGTTGACAGGTGAGTTGACAGGCGAGTCTAGTTGACAGGTGAGTTGGCAGGTGTGTTGACATGTGTGTCTAGTTGACAGGTGAGTTGACAGGTGAGTCTAGTTGACAGTGTGTTATCAGGTGTGTTGACAGGTGAGTCTAGTTGACAGGTTAGTTGACAGGTGAGTCTAGTTGACAGGTTAATTGACAGGTGAGTCTAGTTAACAGGTGAGTCTAGTTGACAGGTGAGCTTTAGGACAGGTAAGGTTTGTTGCACACAACGTATATCGTGGAAAAAAACAACAATTCTCAACAAAAATAGGAAAGGTTGAGAAACGATGTGTATCTTAAAACTGGTACAAATGGTAGGACGTTGAACTATCTACAGAAGGCTTTCGATCGAAACCACTTTGCAACTATTTCGATTATTTTCACCATCTGCTCTCCCACATTCAAAAGTTAAACGTCTCCCACAGCTTGGTTGGTTGACTTGAGCATGACACAGTCATCTTAAGCTGGATGACATCAAATACAGAGACTTCACTTAATCCTCTTTACTCCTTGTGGAGCATAGGGCCTCAACCACAGCCTTCCATTTTGTCCGGTTTCGGCTGTTATTTGTCTCCCTGTCTTTATTTTTTTCAATGACTTCGCCTCCAAAATGCACAGTATTAGATGAAAAATACGCGTTTATAAGTTTTGGCTAGGACACGGTTTTGTGGTGGCTAAGTCCTGGTTAAGTCCTGGTTAAGTCCTGGTTAAGTCCTGGTTAAGTCCTGGTCTAGTCCTGGTCAAGTTCATTTCCTGTCATGGCTTAGTCGTGGATAAGTTCAGTTAAAGGCATGATAAGGAGGTAGTTTAGTCCTGGTTAAGAGCCGTTATTTAAATGTGCCATTTAATTTAGCACAAGAGAGTGACCAAACAAAAAACTTTTTCTCTAAATGTAGTTTTTTTTTTTCATGTGTGTGCGCAAGATGGTAGGCCTTTATAATAAAATAAGCCTATCGAGAGGCTTGTTTTGTCCGTATGTCGGTAAGCCTGTATGTAGACAGGCCCATCGAGAGGCTTGTTTTGTCCGTATGTCTGTAAGCCTCTATCTAGGTAAGCCTGTATAAAGACAAGCCCATATTGAACCTGTGTTTTCTTGTATGTAGACGAGCCCGTAGAGAGGCTTGTTTTGTCTGCATGTAGGTAAGCCTGTATATAGACGAGCCCTGTGTTTTCTTGTATGTAGACCAGCCCATAGAGAGGCTTGTCTTTTATTTTATTTTTTCCCCTTCCCCCTGGACCATAAAAAACTTTGCGGCTTGCCCGGCCGTGCTGAAGTGGACAGATGTCAAGCAGCGCCACAGGCCAGTGAATGTCGCGGGCCTAACTGCTGGGAACTTCACGCTTGGGAAGGTTGGACAGATTCTATTTCCCTGCTGTGTGGCCGCCTGCTTCGATCAGCTCCGCTTGGCATGCTCACACCCAACAGCACAAGCAGCGAGTTGCCTCCCCTCAATCCCCGCATTCAAAAACTATCGACTGGAATAAAGATCTCAAGTCTGCAGGGGAAATAACCCGTGATATCTCTCTACTAAACCGCAGGGCCAATAGCGACGGATAAACCATCCTCCCACTTCTGACAGCTTATCGCCCGGCTCGACCAATGAGATTGCAGGAAACGAAATCGGTTCGGCCCCCAGCGCGTGAAACGAAAGCTGGGTCAATGATGGCGGACAGAATTAATGGTGAAGGCTGGGAAATGGGCGGTGAAATGGGAAATGGTTCAGGCTTGTAGGGTCAGCCCCCAATTTACGAGCGGTGGGTCCCGGCAAGTTTGTAGCCCCGCAGATAGCCGGATTGTAACCTATGATTGAGGAGAGTGATGCCGTCATCACAATACCACCCTTCTCATTAGAAGCGCGTGTAGGGTGTATAAAGAAGTTGGATAGTGACATTTTATTGCACAACGCAGAGAGTAGTACGCTTAAGAACTCCATCGCTTTCGTATAAGTAACCCATCCATGGTCCACGGACGTAGGGACTAGCTGGACATTCGGACTTGGTTGGACATTCGAACATCCTGACCAGTTGGATTCTCAGTTCGTGTGTGCGTCGTTATTTACTTCAAGTGATAGCTAGAAATAATTGTTATATTAATAGTATAAACTAATACGGAAAGTTTGTTTCGTTATATCGAGCAGAGACGTGAGTTTTACATTAATTTTTAAAATTTAAATACAAATTATGTGACAAATAATGATTTTATATTGTGAAAATAATAATAATTTTAAAAAGAATATTGTATAGGTTAAATTTGAAAGATATTTATTACAAGTTAAAAAAAACCGTGTCGTGTGATGATTTAAACTAAGCAGACGACTTAAGGTAGCCAGGCGAGATTAACGCCTGGGGATTTCTGGAACAATTCTTTCCTCAAGACGACGAGCCGAGAGCTCCCTTCCAACGGCAGGCTGACGCACCACAGCTCCCCCTACAACTACGCAGACTTTGCTGCCTGGTTCCCCGGACACATCACATCGCCAGCGTCGTCGTCGTCCTCCTCCTCGCCGGAGACCAGCGTCGCCGAGATGTTGGACTACTGCAGCAACGTCGGCAACGACGCGGCTCAGAACGGCTACGGCAGCCACGGGCATCACCACCACTCACACCACAGTCCGGTTGCCGGAGCCGGTGCCGGTTCCGGGTCCGGCGGACCTCCGTCTATGGCGTCTATCTTGAACATGAACCACCAGAGCGGGCTGGAGTCTTCCCGGCAGCAGAGCGCGTTTGTCTTGAGTTCTCCGCCCCTGGCAGCCCTGCACAACCTGACGGAGATGAAGTTCCCCTCGACATCGTCCTCGTTCCTCTCCCAGGACTACTCGCCGGATACCCTCAAGCAGATGCAGGCTGCCATGTCACACGCCTTGTCCACCCCCCATGGCATCAATGACATTCTGAGCAGGCCACACGCGGCCCTCGGTCTCCCCAGACTGAGCACCAGCATGTACCTGGGCCATCAGACCCGGTTCCCCAAGTTGGCCGAGCTGCCGGGTCGGCCACCCATCTACTGGCCAGGTGTCTTACCCCAGCCGTGGCGTCCTCCAGGTGAGTCAAACATTTCCCTTTCATCTTTTCTCGTCTTGCGACCAGCGAGAAAACAGTGGCTGCTATAGTTCTATGATTTCAATATTCTATTCATCAGCTTTTAATGGTAAATGACAGCAAAATAATTTTATACCGCTAACAAATAGTCTTGTATACTTCAAAACAGATTTTTATAGTCTAACCATAAAGATTTATATTATTTTTACAATTTTTAGTGTTATTATCATTATTATTATTATTATTATTATTAGCCTAGGTCTATTTATTATTATTTTTTACTATTATTATTATTATTATTATTATCATTATTATTATTAGGTCCTATTATTATTATTATTAAGCCCTATTATTTTATTATTACCATCATCTTCATTATAATTACTATTATTGATATTATTATCGTTAGTAGTTGTAGTAGTAGAAGTATTATCCATTATCATCACTATCGCCATCATCACCTATTATTCTTATTATTCTTAACGGTTCCCATTGTTATTACTTTATTATTTAAAAAGCAAGATTTAACCCATAAATCAGTAGTTTAAATTAAATAACCAAAAATCTTTTTCCTACTTATCGAGACTGAGATTTCCAAGCCAAATAGTTACATCCGTTTCAAATTGTTAGTTTTTGTGTAAAAGGCCTGTCTGTTTCACATTGTTAGTTTTTGTGTTATATCTGTTTCACATAGTTTTTGTGTTATATCTGTTTCACATAGTTTTTGTGTTATATTTGTTTCACATAGTTTTTGTGTTATATCTGTTTCACATAGTTTTTGTGTTATATTTGTTTCACATAGTTTTTGTGTTATATTTGTTTCACATAGTTTTTGTGTTATATCTGTTTCACATAGTTTTTGTGTTATATTTGTTTCACATAGTTTTTATGTTTTATCTGTTTCACATAGTTTTTGTGTTGTATTTGTTTCACATAGTTTTTTTGTTTTATCTGTTTCACATAGTTTTTGTGTTATATCTGTTTCACATAGCTAGTTTGTATCTGATTATTTTTTGTTATTTTCGAGCCATTATTCCACCAGTGTAGTTTATACACTTTTGATACGTGAAGTATCTGCCTAAATATCTTTATTACTGATTTCATCAATTATTGATCAAACTGTATGATCAAACGAGCGATGAATGTATTAGAGCCACAAAACTAGCGTTTGTCTATAACATGTTTAAAACTTTAAAACATTTCCGTTCGAAACTTAATTATCAAAATAATTAATTGGCAGGTTCGGATAAAAAGTCGACATTCAAAACATAGATCAACACATATACACACAGATTTTAGATCACACATCAACACACACAGATTTTAGATCACACATCAACACACACAGATTTTAGATCACACATCAACACACACAGATTTTAGATCACACATCAACACACACTGATTTTAGATCACACATCAACACACGCAGATTTTAGATCACACATCAACACACACTGATTTTAGATCACACATCAACACACACAGATTTTAGATCACACATCAACACACACAGATTTTAGATCACACATCAACACACACAGATTTTCGATCACACATATCTTATACCAGACATCAACAAACGCATATTTTAAACCAAACTTCAACACACACGCATATTTTAAATCAAACATCAACACACACACAGATTTTAAACCAAATATGAACAGACACAAATGTTTGACCACACATCAAAACACGCACACAGATTTTAAACCAAACATCAACACACAGACACATGTTAGACCACACATCAAAACACACACACACACACACACACTTATTTTAAACCAAACATGAAAACACACAGATTTTAGACTACACATCAACACACACACACAGAGAATAGATCACAGTCCAACACACGAAGTATAAATACCACCCATCTACAACTTAGAATTTACAACATACACCTGGGGATTGTAAGAACGCACGCGTATATTAGAATACATCGATACACAGAGATTTCATAACACATATACAAACTTAGACCTTATGACTTACGACAGATCTAAACACTATTAAAATTATGTCGGCGCATTAAACACACACACTAACACATGCAGAACCATCTTCTATGAATCACACAAACACCTAGAGGATACTTCGGTACTTTTAAAACACAACCTGTTTAACAATTTTCCAACAACGATGTACGTTGATACGTCTATTTCATTAAAATCATTTTCTCAAACACCCTAAACATTACAATAACAATTTATAAATAACCTATTTGTTTACTGTCGTATTAAAGTCTTCATATTTCTGAAATAATATAAGTCTAATACGTTTTTGTTTTCTTTTGTCGGTGTAGGAAAATGTTTATAATCCAGTAAAGATTATTTTTTGTTGTTCTTCTAACACAATCCAAACTTCAAATTACTAGAAGCATTAATCTAAAACTAGAAACAACTTAGCCTAAATATTTATGAAAAAATAAAACAACAGCTTAAGTAATAACAAAATACGAATTCCAATTTTACCAAACATTCGAAATAAAATAAAAATATTTAAAAAATCGGCATTATTTATGTTTATTCTAGTTTTTTGTAGACTATCTGATAATATTAACTGGAATACTTAACAAAAAAAAATAGTCTTTGGTTAACAACCTAGCACACCTAGCGGTATAAAACATAAAATTATGTTCTTAAAATTTTAAACTAAATAGGAATTAAAATAATCTGTCTATTAAAATTATCCGTGAAATCAAATTTTCGAAATATGTTGTTAAAGTTAAAGCTAATAAAGAAGCAATTTTAATTCAGTGTAGGCCTTATAGTCCCAAGGACTGGTGTAAAGTTGTCTAAAAGATCATTAACTAACTATCTGGTGTAAAAGACCATTAACTAACTATCTGGTGTAAAAGATCATTAACTAACTATCTGGTGTAAAAGATCATTAACTAACTCTCTGGTGTAAAAGATCATTAACTAACTCTCTGGTGTAAAAGATCATTAACTAACTATCTGGTGTAAAAGATCATTACCGTGTTGTGGGGGTGGTGTAACGTTCCCCTGGGGCCCGGGGCAGGGCTGTACTGGTCAAGATGTCAGCGGGGTGCCTCTAAGTGACGTTAAGTGAGCGGTCAGTTCCTGGCCCCGTACAGAGCCCACAGTTGTAGCTGTTGACGTCACGAGATCCGTTCACGCTGGGCCCTATCAATATCTAGACAATAATTGTACCAGCCCATAGGTTATAAACATTTTCCTATCGATATCTAGACAATAATTGTAACAGCCCATAGGTTTTACAGTTTCCTATCAATATCTAGACAATACTTGTACCAGCCCATAGGTTTTAAAGTTTCATATAAATGCGTCTACAATAATAAACAACAACTTAAAGCTTATACACTCTTATCCCTATCAATATCTAGACAATAATTGTAACAGCCCATAGGTTTTACACCGTTTCCTATCAATATCTAGACAATACTTGTACCAGCCCATAGGTTTTAAAGTTTCATATAAATGCGTCTACAATAATAAACAACAACTTAAAGCTTATACACTCTTATCCCTATCAATATCTAGACAATAATTGTAACAGCCCATAGGTTTTACACCGTTTCCTATCAATATCTAGACAATACTTGTACCAGCCCATAGGTTTTAAAGTTTCATATAAATGCGTCTACAATAATAAACAACAACTTAAAGCTTATACACTCTTATCCCTATCAATATCTAGACAATAATTGTAACAGCCCATAGGTTTTACACCGTTTCCTATCAATATCTAGACAATACTTGTACCAGCCCATAGGTTTTAAAGTTTCATATACATGCGTCTACAATAATAAACAACAACTTAAAGCTTATACACTCTTATCCCTATCAATATCTAGACAATAATTGTACCAGCCCATAGGTTTTACACCGTTTCCTATCAATATCTAGACAATACTTGTACCAGCCCATAGGTTTTAAAGTTTCATATAAATGCGTCTACAATAATAAACAACAACTTAAAGCTTATACACTCTTATCCCTATCAATATCTAGACAATAATTGTACCAGCCCATAGGTTTTACAGTTTCAAATAAATATCTCTACAATAATAAGCTCTAACCTAAAGGCTATACACTATTATGCCTATCAATATCTAGACAATAATTATACCAACATGCACTCTTATCCCTATCAATGTCTAGACAATAATTATACCAGCAAATAGGTTATAAACACTTACCTAAAAATATCAATACAACATTATTCCAACATATAGCATATACACTCTTATCCGTATCAATATCTAGACAATAATTGTAACTGCCAATAGGTTATACATATTTCCCCAAAAATATATATACCATATTATACCATCATATAGTATAATTATACACTCTTATCCCTATCAACATAGAGGCAATATTATGGCAACCTACCCAACCCAACAGAGGCGTAGCGATGGGGCGGGGGGGGGGGGGGCAGGGGGGCGCCAAAATGGGTTGTAAAAACAAATTAAAATGTCAATTTAGCTGTATTTTTGCAGTTTGAGGGGGGGGGGGTGCAAATCGAAAAGTTGAGGGGGGTGCAAATCGAAAAGTTGAGGGGGGGGGGGGGTGAAAATCAAAAAGTTGAGGGGGGTGCAAATTGAAAATTTTTGCTCCCTAGGGGGGGCGCCAAATTGAAAGTTTGTCCCCGGGCGCCGGGAAGGGTCGCTACGCCTCTGCAACCCAAACTATCTCAGCGATATGTAGGTCTATGTTGCAGAAAAATAAATTTCCAACCGCAGCTAGAATTTTAAGCTCGCTGTCAATCATCTTAGGACCAATGTCTCACACATAACATTGTGGTGTGTACACTCGCTTGCCAATACTTAATTAATTACATATTTTTGCTGTTTATTTAAAACGTGAGCAAAAATGGGATTAATTAAATAAAACACTAATTGTTAGCTGCAACTATTTTCTTTATCACCGGCGGTAAGATAAAGTTTAAAAAAAAAAATAGATGTTTCAATTAATACAGTGAAAAATCTAAAACAAAAATAAAAA